ACTCACACCATGCCTCAGAATTATCAACTAATGCAAAAAAAAAAAAAAAAAAAAAATCAAGAAGAGAGTGTATATAGAAGCTGACCTAGTAAAAGTAATAAGACCTTCACTGAGTCCAATAACTGATAGCTGCGTGGAGACGTCAAGCTCAGGAGGATGAAAGAAGAGAATCTTGTCAAGCTCTTGACCTTCGGTTTGGCCTCTCCTCAAATCAAAGACGCAAAGGCGAAGACTTTCATCACCAACAGAGATCACTGACGCCATTTTCGCCAGTTAGCTTCTACGAGCTCATTAAACACTCTTTTAACATACAATTAAACGCACGCGTGAGGAATCAACCAAGCATGTTATCATTAGGGTGTTTTTGGTAATCAATTGAAGGGTTTAAGAGGCACACATTGGTGATTCAAGCCCTAAAAGGAGAATCCTAACAAGAAGAAGTACCAAAAAGGAGAAATTTACTACAAAAAATGTTTAGAAATGGTGATCAAGAGGAAATTTGGGGTAATTGAGTACCTTGAAGACGTGTCAAAGGAGGAAAGTCGTGATCAATCGAATGGGAGAAAGATTCTGATAAAGGAAAGAGTTTGACTTTTTGTATAGAAGAGGAAATGAGAGGAGGAGGAGGAAGATTAAGCAGACGCTGTCTGTCCAAATGAAAGAGTTTCACTCTCTCTCCAATGGAGCAAGAACACGAGTCTAAAAGCCCAAATAAGCCCATGGTGGTGCGGTTTAGAAAGGAAAAAAAAAAGAAATAGAGCGGTGAATTTTGAATGGACCAAAGTAAATTAGTCAGAGTCGGTTAGGTTAGCATTCAGGTTAACCACAAGAGCGTATAAATTTTGAGATAGAATTGTTCATTCAGAGATGGATAACTTATAACTACAGGAATATGTGGCTTTTGTCATTTTTGCGGCATTTGTATGGGTCCTTCAACTTTCGAGTATAGAAGAATAATAGAAAAGTTGATCAACTACAAGTCCCTTCATGTCTGATCAATTAATTATACAAAAGATAGAAATTATAAAAATTGTCATATTAACCATTTTACAATTGAAAACTTGTAAAAGATCGTGTTTCAGAAAGAAAAAAAAAACTTGTATAAGATTAGTCAGAGTAGTGTATACTTAAATCTTACTAATAGTCAATTGTTAATATAGTTTAGTCAGAGTAATCGTGTTTCCTAGTCAATTTTAGTATAGTACGTGTTCAGATGTTCTTATTAATCAAAACACTTCTTGTCTTGACATGGGGTTTTGATTACACGAGAGCAAACATTCCTAATCTAATAAGCATTAATTAATTTGCTTTAAATAAACTAACCAAACCCATCTTGCTGTCAGGTCGAGAAAAAGGAAAAATGAAACAAAAACGATGACGTGTTAAGCGGTGACTGGTGAACAAACCTTTTCTTCTCGATTTTGATTCGTTTCGTCTTCGATGAGAAAAGCTCCCTTCTTCTTTTATCTTCTCAACTCAAAAAGGGTTTTCTCATAACTGTTTCAAAGTCTGTCTCTGTTGTTTTTTCCTCGCTGTCTCATTGTTTGTGAACACTGTAAGCAACTTGATTTGGTTTGCTTGAAAATTCTTGTTAGTTGGAATAAAAAGTTTCATTAGCTGTTAATGTCTCTGTAAAGTGTAGACTTTTGGATACTAATCTCTCCATATCGGTTTTAGAAATAGAAAGTTTTGTACTTTTTCAGTGTTAGATCTGTGAATAGTCGGAGTCAATGTCGGATCCATCTCGATTCCGGTCCGAACGAGACTTACGATCGGTTCTTGGACCAACCGGGAACAAGATGCAGAGTAAACCGCCGGGGATGAAACTTGAGAATAAGAAGAAGAAGACGATCGAGTCAACAGAAGAGAAAACGAAGAAAAAAACAGATACTCCAGCTTCACCAACGACGACTCTGAAGCAATGCTCTTCGATTCTGAGACGGAACAGTGCTTCCATGACTGCTTCTTATTCCTCTGATGCCTCCTCTTCTTGCGAGTCCTTGCCTTTGAGCGTGGCGTCTTCTTCTAGCTGTAAGAAGTCCGTGAGGCGAAGTGGGTCTGTCTCATCCTCCTCTGGTATATTGAGAAGGAAGCAGGTTGATGAGAAAGAAGACAAGGTTGCTGCTGCTCCTAGTAATGGTGATTGCTTCGCTGATGGTCGAAAAAGATGTGCCTGGATCACTCCTAAATCTGGTGAGAAGCTCATTTTCACCTTCAGTCTCACTTGTTCATTAGCTCCCAGTTCTAAAACTCTAGAATGGATTTAAAAGATGAGTAGAGTCCAACGTTCTAGACTTCTTTTAGTAATTGAAATCTTCATATACAGGCGATGAGAGTAGCTCAATGCCACGAAAATGCTTGAATCACTCTGTGTGCTGTGTATGCTCTGAAACTTTGAGATTTGTTATCTTCGTTATGCTGATAGGCTTTGGTTGTCACTCCTGTACTTAAAAAGTTTCCATGCCATGAGGCTATGTTGCTCTCTCATGTGCAATATTTTTTCTCTTTGTCTCTCTGCTACAGTTGGCTAATAATGTTGTCTTTATTTCCTTGTTGCAAAGACCCACTCTATGTTGCTTTCCACGACGGAGAATGGGGAGTTCCTGTTCAGGACGACAAGTACGTAGCGTTCTCAAAACTATTATCCTTTTATCATGAGATGCTCTTTGTAATTATAAGAGTGTCTTACCATTTTGGCTATACTTTGTAGGAAGCTTTTCGAGTTGCTATGTCTCTCTGGTGCTCTATCCGAGCTCTCTTGGACCGACATTCTCTCCAGAAGGCAATTACTCAGGTAACTAAACTAAGTTCTGATGTCAAACAAGAAACTAGAGTTTTGTATTATGAGCTATAATCACAGATTTGCTTACCTTTTGTTAAAACAGGGAAACTTTCATGGACTTTGATCCAGTTGCTGTTTCAGAACTAAACGAGAAAAAGCTAACCTCTGCCGTTTCCTTACTATCAGAGGTCAAGATACGTTCCATCCTCGATAACTCACGTTGTGTGCGCAAGGTAATATAAACTTCAGACTCTTCTGAATCTTATATTAAACAACATATTTGAATCGTTTAATTCCTGGCTGGCTTCATCCAGATAATAGCTGAACATGGATCTTTCAAGAAATACATGTGGAACTTTGTGAACCACAAGCCTTCACAGAGCCAGTTCAGGTATCAAAGACAAGTCCCTGTGAAGACATCAAAGGCTGAGTTTATAAGCAAAGATCTTGTACGCAGAGGCTTTCGCAGCGTCAGTCCAACGGTTGTTTACTCTTTCATGCAAGCAGCTGGTCTTACGAACGACCATCTCATAGGCTGCTTCAGATACCAAGAGTGTTGTGGAGTTGCAGAGACAACAACAACCAAGGCCAAGAAGAAGAACGAGAGTGATAAATAAATTATATATTTTGAGTTCCATGTTGTTTGCATTCAAAGATTATTTGTCACAACGAGATTTTGCTACATCCTTTTTGCCTTTGGCGTTGTATAGATGTTTTTTTGTGCTAATATATTCAATGACGAAATGTGAGTATGAAATTTGTTAATTGTCTCATTACAATAAAGATGATACTGTTTAGTATAATTTATTAAATTGAATAAACATGAAGCATTATAGCCTTTATACAAAATCAAAATCCATCATACGTTTTGGCTTAAAGATCTGTGTAAACAGATTCATAACCGAGCAGAGACATTTGGAAACAAAGGTTTCACATAACCAGAGACAATAATTAAACATCTGGTTTATTGTTTCTAAAACAAAGGAAAACGCCAATGGCTAAGGATATATAGTAAGTTATTCAAGACTCGATCTTGATGCCGTTTTGGCTGGATTCTTGTGAGGTCGAAGGAGGAGGAGGAGGAGGAGGAAGATGACCTTTCTCTTGCAAACTCTTAACTGTGTCGCAGAGGCTTTGCTTGGTGGGTGTGAACTCTAAGCCTAAGTCCTTAATCTTTTGGTTAGTGAACTTGTAAGGCTTGGCTCTAGGATTCTTCTCGTCCTTACACCTGAAGAATAATTAACAAACATTATTCTTACTCAACACAATCTTATTTGTTGGTAAATTGCTCTATAACTAAAGCTAGGCAAAGATCAAAGACTAGCTCCATTACAATTTACAATTACCATTTCAAAAGGAAAATATCTATTAACATTTTTTTTAGTTGAGGGTGTATATTATGGATTTATAAAAATTCCACGTTAGCAGTAGGTGACGAGTGGACTTGGACTTATGTGTGTGAGTTGTTGGTACACCAACTTTCACCACAAACTATAAAAAAAAAAAAAAAAGAACATGGGACCAAGTCGCATCCATCATATTGAATTGGTTGGTATCATGATAAGAGATAAGAAAAAATAAATAAAAGCATACTTTAAAAATATATTTTTATAATAATTATATCATTGATTCGCGAAGACACTATTCTCCGACACTATCGTCAAACTAAGCATTACGTTATCGTGTTGTGTTTGCTACTAGATTTTATGTACACTGACTAAATAACTAAAAGGAGCACGTGTGTCATGTGTGTGCTGTGTGCATGTATTTTGTATACAAAGAAGGTAACTTGAGAGTTGAGACAGGTCGTTGTCCTAATGGCTACACTAGAGCTACCATCGTTATTAAAAGGCTTTTACTTGATTTCTTTTCTTTTTCTTTTTCTTTTTCTTTTACTTAAAGTAAAACACACACACAAAATCGTTGACTAAAAATGTTAATTTCATGTGGTTATAGTTTTTTTAAGTTTATTTCTACCCACTCTAATGATGTTTAAATATATTAGGCGTCATTGGTTTCACTTACTTTGTTGGAAGTGGGTACTCCGGGAATAACTTAGCCAGAATCTCAACAACTTCACCGCGGTGAAGTGCACTCTCCGCCAGGAGATAACGTCCAGAAGCCGAGGATGCCTCGTAGACCAGAACATGAGCCAACGCGACATCTCGAACATCCACATAAGCCTGAGTCAGATTAGCATAAGTCTTAGCCGAGCCGGTTAGATACTTGAGGACGTGGAATAGACTGGCGTTGATCGTCGGCTGTAACGGCGGTCCTAGAACCAGCACCGGATTCAGAACCACCAGGTCAACACCTTTCTCCTTTGCCGTCTCCCACGCAGCTTGTTCCGCCACCATCTTGCCGTAACAATACCAATTCTTTAAAACGCATAAAAATTATCAGTAGACCAAACATAAAAACAATTATTTCAATTTACAATGTGTTTATTTAAGTTAAACATCAAAGTTTTATCATGCTAATTAACTGCAAAAACATAAGACCTTAGTGTTTTTGCAGAACTCAAGATCACTCCAACAACTTTCGTCAACGACGGCTTCAGGGTCACGGTTCGGGTCCATGTAGACCGCACCAATTGAGGAGGTGATGACCACACGCTTAACCTTGGTTTCAGCTGCAGCATTAATTACAAACTTGGCTCCGTTCACGGCCGGCTCCACCATTTGCTCCTGAATATTTATCGTTACATTTTTAAAAAAATAGATGCTACATTTAACGTATTCATTTACCCCTCCGACAATATAATTTATAACCATCTTTCTCTTCCCTTTGAAGTCAAATGTAATAAATTCATTACAAGCAAATGTTATTTCAGCGTCTTGAAATTCAATAATATTTTACCGAAACTACCATATTCAACTAAGATTTTTAACTTATTTCATGTAAACCTTTTTTCAAAAAAAAAAAAAAACTTATTTCATGCGTTATTTTTTCTACTAATAATACGATTTGAACGACAAAACAAAAAAAGTCTAAAAGAAATCAGCTCCACTACCATAATTGTTTTTTTTTTCAAATCTCATGTAGGTCCCTAACTTTATTCAATTTTTTTTTTAAATACTTTATTTAATATTCTCAGAAAGAAAAAAAAAAACACCAAGAAAAATGCTCACGGGATCATCAGTGACAGGAGAAGCCGTGTGGAAGACACCGTCGCAGCCATCTATAGCCGCCTTAAGAGCATCGTAGTCCTGAAGATCTGCTTTGCACAGAATCAGTCTCTCCTTGGCTCCTTCTAGTTCTCTCAAATGTGTATTTTTAGGATCATCTGCCAATAATAACCATAATTTAAAAAAACAACAATAATCATCCTGTAGCAATTATTTAATCAAACCAGAAAAAAAATATTATTATTACAGTGAGCAAAAAGAGTATAATATTAGACCTGGATTCCGTACAGTTCCTTTGACCGTGTAGCCTCTCTCAAGTAATAACTTAACAATCCAAGAAGCGATGTATCCACCAGCTCCGGTGACACAAACGGTTTTCCCGGCCATATCGACTGGCATTTTTTCCGGCTGTAGAAAGTGAAAGCTTTGGTCTTTGAAGAGGCAGAACCAAAATGATGACTGCGTATAAAGTGAGTTACGGTTTTGTATATATAAAGGCTGAAACGGATGTTTATCCTTTTATGATTCCACCCACCCAACCATTGTAATGAGTTTGGTCTACATATTTATATTTTATTTGCTTATGTAAAGAAAAACAGAACAAAATTAATATTTTTTAAAAGAGGGGTTGGTGGAAGAAGAATTATTTGGAACAACAATACACCTTTAGCAAAAAACTCATAAACTTGGACAAAATTTCACCTACAATCATTTTACTCTTGGTAATATATATCTACCAATATTTATTGATGAAAGACATTATTACATATTCTGGACGATGTATAATGCTTTCTTGTGTTACTACAAAAATACTAGTTCTAGAAGAAAAGGGGTACGGTGCAGTAATGTGTGTATATGGAGAAACAAGTCGCAAGTGTTATGTTTACAGTTTACTTACTCCATCGATGATAGGATGTTACGATTCAGACACTTTTCTCAGCAAGTTCAAAGTTATGTGCCCAAAACAGGAAGTGCTGAAATGACTACACATATTATCAATGTTTTGTGTTTAGCAAATGCACATACATGGCCTCTGAAATGTATGTTACTAAGGCTAGGTGACACCAGCAAACTAGTTCCACAATAAGACACAGGTTAAAACTACTAAAAATAACACAATTAAGTCTTTAAACAAGCAGTTTCACTAAACATATAAGTTACCTAAACGCTAAACCACAATAACCAATCTTTTCGCCCTGCATTATCATCACCTAACCATTGCATGGCCCATGGATCAGCCTGAAATAGGGGTAGTACTGACTTCTGCTTTATCAGTCTCTTCTTCCACTTCCTTAACTGCTCTCTGATCATCTTCTTCAGCTTCATTTTCTACTTTACCAGTCTCAGGCACGCTTGTGTTTGCATCTCCATGACTCTGCTCCTCAGATTTATCCTCCTTGTCAATAGATTTTGTGTCTGCACCTGGCTCTTTTGCTGATTCTCCATCTTGCTCCTCAGACATATCTTCCTTCTCTATCAATTTTGGGCCTGGACCTGGCTCTTTTGCTGATTCTCCATCTTGCTCCTCAGACATATCCTCCTTCTCGGTCAATTTGGTGACTGCACTTGGCTCTTTTGCTGATTCTCCCTCTTGTACCTCAGTTTCAGGTTCTTCATTACGCTCTTTCACTGTCTCTTCAGTTTTGAATTCTGCCGTTGGCTCTTTAGCTACCTCTTGTTCTTCTCCACCAGTTTCTGGTTCTGCATTTGACTTGTTTGTAGACTTTAGCACTTCTCCATCAGCACTGAGTTCTGCCGTTGGCTCTTTTGTTGTCTCCTGTTCTTCTCCATCAGTTTCTGGTTCTGCATTTGACTTGTTTGTAGACTTTAGCTCTTCTCCATCAGCATTGAGTTCTGCCGTTGGCTCTTTTGTTGTCTCCTGTTCTTCTCCATCAGTTTCTGGTTCTGCATTTGACTTGTTTGTAGACTTCACCTCTTCTCCATCAGTTTTGGTTTCCGCATTTGGATCATCAGGCAGTTCTTGATGATCTCTCTTACATTCAGGCTCTCCATCGGATTTCAGACTGTCTCCACCCTTGGTTTCAGGTTCTTCCTTGTCAACACAATCTTTTGCACTTTCTCGGTGCATATCTCGAGTCACCTTCTGCCTTTTCTTAGTCCTGCCAGTTTCAGCATTCGGCTTTTTTGACGATTTAAGATCTTTCTCTTCTCTGCTTTCTGGTTCATTGCTTTTGCCCTTCAGCGCACCTTTGGTTCTTTTCCCTTGCTTAGTGGAATTTGTTACAGGTTCTTTCTCCTTAGAGGATCTATATCCATAAATGTTAGAGAATTGATTAAAAGGATCAAAACCTTATATACACACATAACTAGAATTATTGTAAATTTTCACACCTGACGTCTGAAGAACTGCTTGGATCCACATTCACAGACATATTTTTGCTCTTCTTGGCTTTCTGCCTTCGCATTCTGCATATAAAAGCAAAAACTCAGACTGTAGAGAGTGCCAAGTTAAAAACGTGTAGGTGATTCAGAACCTAGAACGTTTCACTTACATGTCAGATAAAGGAGTAGAATCAGGCAGATCATCCTCCTTTTCCTGCTTTTAACATTTTGGGGAGAAATCAGTACACATATCACTTAGATTGTTGCAAGAGACACATGGTGAATGAATAAAGAGGGGTACAATGTAAGACAAATCTCACCTCAATGGCTGAAGAGTTATCCTGGATTATCTCCCAACGTTCGTTATTAAGATAAATATCTTCAGTCTCCCCATCAGAATATAACACCTGCAGCGAGAGCAGCAGTAGAAAAAATACATATAAATCCATCATGCAACAAAGATAGAACTTCAAAATACGATTTAGAGAAGTAAACTCACTCGATGCCTTTTAGAACGACCAGAAAAGGACTCTATGACGCCTTCATAAAACCTGTTTGCAAATACAAACGGTAAGATCGCTACCATTCATCACGGAGTATCCAAACAAAAAGTTAACATGTTTTGCAATACACTTACTTCTCGTCGAGTGGCCACCAGACTTTAACTCTCTTACCAACCAGTTCCTGACCAAGTTTCCGCTTATTGGATCTCTCATTGGATTCCTGCAAAGAGGAATATAGACCATATTGAAAACACGAGACTAATCAAAGTCTCATACCATGGACAGAGAAGGCAAAAATTCACACCACTTCCTCTCCAGCTGTTTGTTTCTTCTTGGGATGGCTCTTGGGAGTTTGTTCAGATTCTTTGGTCGCAGGCGTTGTTGCACGGGAACTCTTCTTCTGGACAATTTATATAATTATAAGTTAAAGAAAACAAAGGCAGTTATAGAGTATAGTTTGAAACAAAAAAAAAAATCATGGTTTATCGAATTTGATACCTTGTTCTTTGATGACTGGGGAATATCAGTATCCATGCTTACACCTTCTGACTTGTTTTTCTTCGCATCTGAGCTGACTGATTTTTTCCCGCTGGTCTTAGATTCTGCAAGCGGTTTCTTTGCTGACGTTTTCGCTGAACCATTCTCTGCTTTCTCCTTTTTACTTGGCTTGGCAGTCTTAATGTTATCTTCAGGCTTTTCAAGGTCAGTTTCCATTAAATCTTCTACTTCAGGATTATCTTTCTTCACAGTCTGTTTCTTTGATACTGGTATCGCTAAAGAACCTGCATCAAGATTTGTCTCTTCCATCTTACTCCGGCTACGTTTGCCTGACCCCTTCTTAGACCTACTAGAGGGCGAGAGAGAAATAACAAGGGGCTGATTCCCTTGACCAGCTTTACTAGGGGAAGATGCTTTCTTGCCAACGAGCTTTCCACGTGATGAATCCTTCTTGCTTGATGACGTCTTGAATGAGTAGCCTTCCTCAGGATTCATCAGAGAATTGGGTTTCCGCCCTCTCCTCCTAGTAGACTCTGATTCGGTGTCTGTGTCTGTACTTTCAGAATGCCCTTGCTTCAAAAGTTGTTTCAAATCGGTTCCAACTTGTGCTTTAACATCTCCATTGGCTCGAGTTCCACCTCTTGCAGTTCTCTTGGACCTCGTCCCCTTGACAGAGAGACTCAAATCCAGTTTTTCCTAAACAAAGATTTTGAAGATATTGGTTAAGCAGCAAACAAAGTGAAAAGGGGCTAAACACTTCCAATGAAAAAGCCTACCAAATACAGTACCTGCAATGAATCACTTGGAACTACCTCTTCTTCTATTGTCTTTTCACCTGCCTGAAAAACAAAAACTGTTGTCAGTTCAAGATTCAACCCAACAACTACTGTATAAACAATCAAACCAAGAGCTCAAGACTAAGAACACCTCAGTTTCTTTGGGGTTAACAACGATTTGTGTTTCAGTAGTGGCAGCTTCGCTTTGGCCTATTGACAAAACTACTGGAGAATACATCTCCAAGCTAGTCCCTGTGGACTTCAAAGCTTCCATGATGTACGGTCGAAGCGTAGAGGCGCAACTACTGAGAACCTTCTCCACAAGCCCCGAAGCCGTTGGTGAGACATCCTACGCCATGGCGACCAGAAACATCAAAACTCAAAATCTATTGAAAAGCTTGGAGACTTAAACATTAACTGCCAAAAACTCACCTGGTTTTCTTTCTTCACAGCAGCCAACAGAATCTCTAGCAAATCCATGGATACTTCTTCACTTTCTTCTATGACTGTGATCATTATCGTTTCCATTGAATGATGAACAGGTTGAGGATGAACCGGGCTTCATAAGATGCACAAAAGAAAAGCCATCAGCGTTACATAAACCACATAAAAGTTAATTTTGAGCACTGTAAATTCAGGTTTTATTTCTACCTTATGACTTTCAAGAACTGCCGAAACATCTCTAGGATAACGTCATCGCACTCCAAGTCCAACATCACCAAAGACGCCCTGACCTTAGCAACAGTATCAAGAACAGCCTCCACTTTCTTATAACTACGAGAGGAAGCATCAGCTAGTTTTCCAAAGGCTTCTACCGTCACCTCGAAGATCTCCTGCAAGCCAGAGAAGCAAATCAAAATGCCATGTGAGTGAAAGAATAGTGTTACTGAACATTGTGAGAGATTAATGGTAAAATCAACCTTCATATCGCCATCATCATACGGTGCCTCTGGAGCAGTTATCCTCATAATCTCGGTTAAGCAGGAGACAACGTAAACCCTAACATCAGAATCAGGGTTTCTCAAGAGATCAACAGACACCAAAGCCTTCAAAGCTGGTCTCAGGGCATTTTGCAGAGATACAGTAGGATCTTGCTCCACATTACCGAGCAGAGTCTCGACTTTCTGCATAGACAAGCGTCGAAATCAGATGAGTAAACATCATACGCCGCTTAGGGATCTGAGAGCAACAAAAACCCTAAAAGGTTTGACCTTTACAAACGCTAAAACGTAGAAAAAAACCTAACTTTTCCGAATTGTCGAGAACAGAGAAACCTTAATTGCTACCTATAAACCGCAGAGAGAAATCCACTCTATGGATCTAAGAGAAAAACCCTAAAAGGTTTCACCTTTACAAAACCTAAAACGCAAAAAAAAAAAACCTAATTTTTTCGATTCATCAAGAACAGAGAACCCCTAATTGCTACCCTATAAACCGTAGAGAGAAATTCACTTTATGGATCTAAGAGAAAAACCCTAAAAGTTTTCACCTTTACAAAAGCTAAACCGAAAAAAAACCTAAATTTTTCCAAATCGTCAAGAACAGAGAAGCCCTAATTACTATCTCAACAGAGGAATTTCACCAAAAAACGTGAACATTCTCAAGGGAGAAGGATTCGTACATTGAGAAGGTCGAGAAGGGAATCAGTAGAGGAATGAGGCTCGAGGAGATCTTTTCCAGCCTTGAGGAGAGCTTCAGGGAGTTCGGTTTCTTCGACAAGAGGACCCATCTCTCTCTCTCTCTCTCTTTTGTTCTTCTGGGAAAATCTTCAAATTCAAAACCCTAGAAGACAAATAAACATTCTCCGGACCAAAAGATAAGAACCGCTGTCGTCGCCGCCACAAATCCAAATGGTCTCTCTGCTCAGGGAAAAAAAAAGTTGATAACTTTATTGAGTCTGGTGAGGCTTTTATATTAGTGGTGTTGACCATGCAAAGAGCTGCTCTTGATATACCTGAACAGAGATAAAATAACTTTCATTAAGATTTTAATTATTAAAAAAAGAGTTTTTTTAAGTCTTAGCTGTGTCAAAGTATTGACGAAAAGAAAACAAAAAATCATCTATGTGGATAGGACGGATCTGGGGCTAGTGTAACATTAGTCCTCTTTCTCCAAAGAAAAAATGGTTATTTTTACATAATCATAGACCCTTAAACTATGGGAAAAATTGTTAGTAAAATTATTGAAAAGAATTATTATTCTAAAAGTGTTTCGAATTAATGTCATATTCAGCCTTGTGTGGAGAGAAATCTCATGTGAACATAAGTTTTGTGTAATTTGGTTATAAGGTAATCTAATACTTCTTTTTAAATTATAACGAGAATCTACGTTTTTCTAACACAGATTATCTTATTCCCGTAAGTGCGGGCAAAACACCTAGTTTCTTTTTAAATCATAACGAGAATCCACGTTTTTCTAACACACAATATCTTTTAAAATCTCTATTTATTTTAAGCTGGTTGATTTTGTATCTTAAATTAAAATATTATAACTATTATTTATTTCGACCGTTTGATTTATTTTAAAAAGATTAATTAATCCTAAAAGGATACTAATTTTTTGGTGAATTAAATAATCGGATAGTTCATTAACTGGAGTTTTTAATTAATTTATTAGATATTGTTTTAATGAAATTATTAGTAACGGAATCTATTCAGTTGAACGGAATTTCATATCATTCTTTTATTTATAGAGCTAATGATCGCCATGATGATCATTTTATGATTGGGTTTCTAGTGTTGATTCCCAAAGCCATGTAAATTTAATGGCTGATATGACACATGTAGATTTGCATATGTTATGCTGATGTTGAGATGATTTGATCGCCGTTATTTGTGTTTTTATAGTCAATTCTCTTCAGCAGAAACTAGCTCAGTAGTAAGTATCATTGGTGGTTTAAGGATAATTTCAACTGGATATCGCAAATTAGTTTAGTTATCCTATAATTTTCAAATTCAACTTCATTAACCTCAATGAACTGTGAATTTTGAAATTTGTTTCATGAACACAAAGAATGGGCAAATAAAACATCATGCAAATTTTGTGTACTGGAAGAAGAGTAGAGGCTGCATAAAATCAAAACTTGATCATGTTTCAAACAAATCTCGAGAGCTGTCTGCTAAAATATTAAATATCAAAACCAAGATAAAACAGCATTGAGATGGAAAAACATCTGAGATACGAAATGCTTATTGAACTTAGTTGGATTCAATGTGCTTCTTGACGATATTGAGGGCAGTTGTATCCTCACCATAGTCCTGAAACACCAAGCAAGAAAAACACATAAACAAATTAAGTAAATAAACAAAACTATCCCATGAATTAGAGATTATTCATAGATCGAGAAGTAAATACAATACCTTGACTACAAGGCATGAGCAGCCAACAACCTTCCTGGCATTACCCTCAGAGTCAATCTTACAGAGCTGCAAACAACATTAAAGATTCAATTTTCGTTATTAACACAACGAGAGCTAGAGTCAATAGATTAAGAAAAGACTGAAGGAGACTTACACCAGCCCATTCACCGAGAGTCTTGGCACTTGGAACAGTAAGCAAGTTGATGCTGTGATCAGCGCAGAGAGCCTTAACAAGCTTAACGTAATCAGGTTGGTTGCAGTCTTCAGCCAAGACACAGAGCTGAGCAACACGCTTCTCAATAAGCTTAGCGCTCTCATGGAGACCACGGACAACACCACCATGAGCACGAGCTTTCCTAAGAGTCAACTCCAAAGCAGTCAACAAGTCCATGTCCTCTGGGATTGCCGCTGCCTCAGCAACGGGAGGAACAACAACGGGAGCAGCAGCAGCCTCATCACTAAATAAATAAGAGCGGAATCAGACAAACGGAAAGCAAATAAAGACAAGTAATTTAATTCAACGATTGAAAATGATAAACGTACAATAATGTTTTGAACGACCAAAATACAATTCAGCTCTAATTCAAGTACGATAATCAATTAAAAGTATAGAGTATTAATGGGCAATAACATTAACATCAATGATGCAAGATTACATTTGATTAAGAAAGATAGAGCAACATATAAACATCAAACATGACAAGATCATCTAGAAGTTAGCTAGCTAACACACTGATTCGGCAGATAATAAAATGCAGCGTAGCCACAACAGTGAAACGAAGCTTACCCCGACATGTTTTAAATGCCTTTTAACTTCCGCAAAAAAACCTTAACTCTCCTTGTGTTCTGTCAATATAAACCAAAGCAAAATCAGTCTCCAATAATCATCGTATATAAATACTATTGAGGAAACTCTAACGCAGTATAAGAGGCGGACAACATGTTTGGATCGTACAGCGTTCGAAGAGCTGAAAAGGAGACTAACCTCAGAGACGATGACGGCTGCAGCGGAAAGGATGAGGAAGAAATTGGAAAACAATTTATATGCTTTTTACTTCAAAACCCTAATTTCACCAGAATTACATCTTGACAGATCTGTTGCGGACCCAGGCCATATATTTGGGCTTCTACCGGCCCATTAAATGGGCTTTTTTACGACCACTATTATTTATCTCCAATTTCCCAGTTTCTTGGCAACCTTGTCTGTATGGACTCGGCAACACCTTGAAATACCAGCAGAGCCATTGAGAACTAAGGGACAAATCTGTGGATCGGTATGTACTCTGAGATTTGTCTTTGCTTGTGGGGAATTGAACAAAATAAGATAAAAATTAATTGTATTGATTTTTTTGTCAAAATTCTCGTTTCAAGTACCTATTCATGGTGCAAATAGCATAACCAAATGTAAAAACGAAACGAGAGACTATAAACTATTTTATCATACTTTTTTGGTTCTTTTCAATGCTTTTGGTCTGCAAGGAGGTTAGGTTTGTTAACAGTTCCCATCCCATACAGAACACCACAATATCTATCCATGCATAAAACAGAACATTACTAATTAGAACATAAGTTGTTTGGCTGTTTGAAATCTTTCAAAGACGCAAGTTAAAGAGCAAAGTCTGGTGGTTACATAGATTAATTATTTTACATCATTTAAGCTTCTCCTTGATTCTAAGTTATTTTAAAAGACTTAAGGCTGCACCCATTCCTTCTACTCCCTCCTCCATCCTGCAACAAAAAAAAGTACAAGACCATTAGGTTCTTCACACCAAATCAGAATTAGACTTCTTCAACCGGATCATGTCCCTGCTCTAATTTGTTACAAGAATTTTTTACTCTAAAACTTAAATAAACCCTTCTACAAGGTTCTAACTTCTCAGGTTATGGACTGGAACATACCATCTATAAGCTAAATAAACAGAGACCTGTGTCAACTGAAGATGATAGACCATACCTTCAGGTTCATTTGCGTTTCACAGGCTTCATATCGTTGGAAATGAAACTAATCACTTCTTTTAATGTTGCTTTCCTTCCTGCTTCGAAATTCCAAAGTTCTGGGCTGCTGTATCGACCACTTGGATTATACTCATTCATTTCCTCGAGAGCTGTTTTAACAGCGTTGTGCACCTCTTCTCCCCACTCTTCTTTAAGCTTCTTCAGCTTCTCATCCTCTTCGTCTACCACTTCCTGTAACCAACACCATTACTGCTGACTTACAAAACAGTTATGCCAAACATATGGATAAAAAAATCAACATTCACAGAATCACTGGTTATTTCACTCAAAAGTGGTAAAGAAAACCAAGACATTTCTCAAAGCCATCATGGCTTCAGATGGGAGGAGACAGTGGGAAAGAACATACAATTGCTTTGTCTCCATTTCCTTCACGTTTGAACGGTTGCCATGTTGAATCCTTAATGTTCTCTTGCCATGTGGAGCAAAGTGTGACACCTTTAACCATAGCTTCATCTTCAGAATATCTCTTCTTGCAAGCATTCAAGAAGGTCTCTAAGTTCTCAAGTTCTCCCATCCTCTTTACCCCAATATCAGATTCGGCACCCAACACTCCTGTCAAACGCTGAAGAAAAGAGAATCCAGAGCTTAAACAACATAGGCCTGAGTGGTAAAATGCAAGCGTATCAGTAACACTTAAACATTAAAGATATGTACCGCAATTAATGTTTTCCGCGCTGCTTGAATCTCAAAATTGCTTTGACGTTCTTTTGTCATCAAGTCAGAGTTCATCTGCTCAAGCTCTTCTAACTCAGACTTCTTGTCCTCCAGTTTATCATTCATCTCCTTCATTTCCTGCTTCACCGCATCATCATCAGCATCCCCCAAGTGCTTCATCACTTTTAATTTGGCTTTCAGCTCCTGAATCTCCATTTCCAGTGTCTGTTTGTTGTCTAGCTGTGTCTTAAGCTCAAGGATCTTTCTCATAGCCTCTTTATTTTCCCTCTGGAATTTAAATAAAGAGAGCATTTAAAACTCAAGACACAAAACGAGGGAAGGCTTTTTCTCCCCTTTTTGGCTTTTTAACTTGTTATACAGTAGTTGTGTACCTTATGCTCTTCCACAAGTCTCAAAACGTTCTCGTCAGCCTTCTTCTGCTCATGGGAGGCTAATTGGAGCGAAATGTTCATCGCATCATTCTGTCAAACCAGGAAAAATACAAATGAAAAACATTGATTTACATGTGTATGATACTGAGAATGAAATAATAATATTACCTTTTTCTTCTCTTCATCAAGCTTTTGTCTTTCCAGTTCAGTTAGTGCTTCTTTTTTCTCCAACTCTTTGGACCAACTCTGCAGTCTCAGCATCTTAGCTTCCAGTTCATTGCTTAGCCTCTCTTTATCTTCTAAGATCTTCTGAATACTGCGAACCGACATCTGTTGCATCTTCTTTGTTTCTGAAATTAAAGAAACAATTATCAAATAACCCTAAAACATGCTAGATTAATTCATAAAAACATATTAGCTTTCAGACTATAAAACCTTCAGCATAAGCTTTGTCCAAGTCTTTCTTCTGGTCTAAAACCATCTGCAGTGACATAGCCGTCTCGTTGTAACTGTACTGAACCATGTTCAGATCTTCATTTGTCATAGCAATCATATCCGAAAGTTCTTCAAGAACACTGTTCCTATCCTGCGCCTTTTCTTGAGAAATATCTGAAACTGTTCTTAGCTTTCCCTCCTTGGAAAGGTACTCACCTATCAGCCCTTCAGAGTTATAATCTTCAGCACGTGCACACCAACCATAAGCCTTGGACTCTGATTCTCCTATGTTCGCTTCCCACTCCCTTTTGCTGCAACCTCTACACTCAAACTCCTTCTCAAGCTCTGTTGCACACGCAAACCCACTCCAGTCACTGTTAAACTTAGAACAACAGAATCTTTCTCGACCCAAAACACATTCACATCAACAGGCTTGAACCTAGAAAGACGCTTCAACCAATAAGCAGAATCAAGTAGAACTTCTTTATCATCAGTTTCTTTCACAGAGTTAACCACAATCCCCATCCATGGCCAGACATAAACCTCACCAGGTTTCGGTTCTGTATCATTTAACTGAGGAAGATAAGGGCGTGGGAGACCTTCTGCATCACAAGCAAGTTCGTTCTCTAAGTACTTAGCCAAGGCGAGATGATTAGCCTTCTGTTTAGCACTTCTGGTGACAGATCCTATGGAAACTCCGGAAGCGTGTGCAATCAACTCCTTGTATTTGTAGTCTTGCTTCTTCTTGTTTGAACAAAAGGGGCATCTCAGCGTTCCATTCACTTTGACCTTGTACTGTCCTGTTTGTAGTTTCAGGTAGGGCTTTTGAGAATAGTCATCGATCTCTGATTCGCTGATCTCTGACTCTTCATCGTGTGGTGGAGGTGGAAGGTCCATCGTACCTACTTTGCCTGTAACATAAGTCAATAATATCAAAATCACAGAAGCAAGAGAAACCCTAGGTAAGAACTGAGCTTAAACCACACCAAAAGAAATAATATATATTATACATTACGGAATCCGTTCGTGCATGATAAGAAACCGAACAAGAAATGCTACAAAAACTAGAGAGGAAGTGAGGTAAAAGCGTTAACAGTACGAGATGACCACAAGAAACACGAGATTATTAGGAGATTTCACTATGAAGACAAATGCATAGAGAGAAAACTGGAGCTTACTCGCGTGGGAAGAGGTAAAACAACACGGCGATTGATGATGAGAGGAGAAGAGTAGAGAGTGAGAGTGAGAGGAGTGGGGAATACGAATAGCTTTCTGAGTAATTCGAAAAGTTTTAGGGCTCAAAAATGAAGGGAAGATGTTAAAAAAAAAATAATGTCAAGAGTGGGACTTGAACCCACGCCCTTTCGGACCAGTACCTGAAACTGGCGCCTTAGACCAACTCGGCCATCTTGACTAATGTTTGACCTTGATAAATAAGGCTTTTCGTTTTTTGTTTTAGCAAAAATAATAGAGCTATTTTGGCGAATAACGATGAAGAAGAAGATAATTAGCTAGGTAGTAACGTATATTGAGTGCAAGAAACAGGAGTGGTGGTTTTACCTGGATGTCCCTACTTACTCATAAGGATTTCGTATGCAAATGTCAGAAATGGAAGGTGGCCTATGCTATAGCTTCTGAGTCAATAGTACCCTATAGTATTCAAATTCAAAGGCTTTTCATTTAGTAGTCAAAAACAATAATTTCTTCACATTAAAATTCTCTCTCTTATTTTCAGATCTGGAAGACGGGTAGACGCGTCCTCTTCTAAGTGAAGCGAGAAATGATGACGAGGGAATCCGGTGATAATGAAGAAACCACACCGTCGCCGGTTAATGATTCAATGGTCCCGCGTATGATGTTTGCTACCGGTGAGGAACCAGTCGGAATCCGAGTCCTAACCTACCAGTCTTCAAGAGCACTAAGACGGATTCTTAACAGTCTCGACACAGACGAGAGGTGCATAATCCAGAAGTCTTCTTTTGGGAAAATGTTGGAAATAGCGGAGAAGCCATTAT